CCTAACAACGCCCCTTAGCTGTTATAAATTCACTGTAAACCACAGCTTCTTGGGGCGTATTGCTTTAATAACCTACACAAAGTTTAAATATGAAAAAAACAGAAAATCAGCAAACACGGTGGAACCGAAATAAATAAGAAACGAATATTTTAAAAAACTTCCAAAATCACATAAACGGCAAAAGTCAACAGGTTTTACTAAATCCTAAATATTATTAAAACAGGCGCTTTTGCATTTCATTTCGTAACTAAATCTTCCACCATTGTCTTGTCTTTCGTGGTTCGTGATAAATCAAAAAAATCTGATCTGTGATGCGACTGTCGTTCGGCACGCTGCATTGAGCAGTCGCGTTCAGTTTTTAATTGTAGTGTCTGTTCTCTAACTGAACCAAATTATTTTTATTTTTTTATTATTATAAAAAATGAAAACGACGGTGGGGGCGGTGGGCAAGTGACATACTATGAAAACGCATTTTAGCAAGCCTAAAATGTATGTGCCGTCATTGATGAATAAACTGATGAATTCCTGTCAAAAACATTTACTTTAGAATAAAGATCAGAATAACATTAAAACTGCGCAATGGCTTATTGCAATTATCAAATTTCATGAATTAATATATGCACTTGTGTTTCAGAGTGAAGCGTGTCACTGTGTTCATTTAAAGGTGCCATAGAATGCATTGATACAATATTTTAAATTGTCCGCACTATTTTATTAGAACTCGCGTTATTTGTTTTCCGTGCCTTTCTGAATACAGACACCAACCCATCCCTGCACATCACATCCCCTGCACAGCCTGGAACATAACATTTATTTCCATGATCTGCCATTTTCGCTATTATCCTCGCTTGTTTCTTCACAATACCTGCAGAATTTCTGATGATTCGGCTGGCGGCTGGCATAGAACATGGGCAGGTATATGCAAATGTTGGAGGCGTAACTATTAGTGATCCCGACTGTAACGTCACAGTTGGTATTATGTTCTGATTTGCATATTTTTCAGTGGTCTTTTGCATGCACGAGATTTACATAAGAAGGAGGAAACAATGGTGTTTGAGGCTCACGGTATGTCATTTCCATGTACAGAACTGTTATTATTCAACTATGCCATTCTATGGCACCTTTACGGCTGATTTGTACTTCTGCGTCGGACATACGCCTTTATTTTAAATAAGAAGGTGTAACATTAAAATATATTAAAGGGCAAAAAACACACAAAACTCAAATACATACGGAGGGAGGGGCTCTAGCGGACCAATCACAACTAGGGGTGTTACGATTAATCGATATGGATCGATACATTGATACGATGTCTGAAGATACGATGCATCGATGCTACGCGTAAAACATCGATATCTGTAGTATAAATAGGCACCTTTATTTTTGCACTGTTCACATTTTCACATAATGTCCGTCTATGCATTACCGCCAACGCGTACATTCTCGTTCAAACTCACGTATCAGGACTCGATATTAGGCACAAGGCGCTCGGGATTGTTGGCAAAACAGTCAAGCTTTTTTGTGCATGGATGAATAAATACAGACAAAATTACATCAAAATGCGCGTTTTGGCAAATATCCTAGTAAACACAGTCTATATATCTTAATGTAAACAGTTGAGAAAGAAAAGGCATGTGTATCAGTAGCCTATATTAAATATGTGCTTTCGTTCTTTAAGTGAAAGCAAACCAATAATAAATCTAATGCTGTCAAAGAAAAATACAAGTGCTCACTGCTCCTGACTAAATAACCTTTGTAACATCAAAAACGATTAATCTATATTTATTTTATACAGTGAAGACTATGCAGTTATTTTACATTTGATTATTACATTTCTGTAGCGTACCTGAACATTTCTTTTAGACTGAGCTGAAAAACCTGAAAAGCACTGTTTATTGAACTTGTGTCTTTGTTGTATTGTATTTATTTTCTGCTATTACTTGTAATTTGGTTATCTGTAGAAAATATTTTTAGCACTGAGCCCATAGTAGCAGCCAGAATTGTTTTTCCAATTGTTTATTTTCTTAAAAAAAAAGTGTAGGCCTATTTTTTTGTTGTGAATGTCCAGGATGTGAAAATTTCCCATTTTATATGAATGTTATATGTGAATGTTATATATTTTGGTTGCATTTGTGAGTTAATAAAAATGTAGATGGTTGTTTAAAATAGGTATATATTATCATAATATCGATATATCGATCGATATACTCCTGTATCGAATCGAATCGTAATCGTATCGTAGAATCTTTTGAGGTATCGACAAATATCGTATCGCTGGGTATGAGAATCAATATCGTATCGTACCGTATCGTATCGTGACGAACCATCCGATTTACTCCCCTAATCACAACACTTGCGGTCCACGTAGAATTGACGTGCTGTGACATTTTTGGAGAGGTGTACGTCAGGCTAGGCAGCGTAGGTTCGACGCAGAAGCATAAATCAGCCTTCACAAGCAAAGCAGCTCATGATCTCGTGTTTTCACCGTCTGTGAGCTTGGGTTGATTATAACCTGCATTTATAAACACAGCATGCGCACTTCTAATGAGAAGCACTTATAAACCGACTGCTGTCAGCATAAGAGAAGCTTTAAGGGCTCCTGTGGTTTTTTGCCAAAACAAAAGCTTGATTTAATAATTGAAATTTTTTTAATATTTATTTATAATATATTATTTAAATAATATATATTTATTACAATGAAACTGATTAATAATTATATTTATTATTGTGAGTAATAATAATAATATTATGATTGTTTTATATATTAATGCTGTTGTTATATTATTAATAATTATTAAATCTTTTTTATTTGATTAAACAATAATAACAAAATAATTGATAAAAAGAATATTATATACATTAAAATTATTATTATTAAATATTTTAGTTAAATAGTATTATAGTGATATTTATCTATTTTATCTTTGTTTGTTTATTTTTAGAATTTGAATAAAATAATAATTATATAAATAAATAAGCACTACTACTACTACTATTCCTTTATATTAATAATCTAATATAATAATAACAACATTTATAACTATTATTATTATTATTGTTATTGTCGTTGTATTACAATATTATTTGTAGTAGTAGTAGTATTTTATATAAATGAAAAAAAAAATGAATAAAA